TTTTGAATAATAGCTAGAAAAGCTATAGCTATTCAAAACGTAAATACAGTATAATTAAATTTAATGTGTAAAATTTTGATTTAGGGTTACAAACTGTTGGTGAAGAATATGTTTATATAGTGCAAGTTGATAATGCACTTAAATCAGTTCCATCACTATTGGTAAGTAAATTTAATCAGTATACTTTCTCTTAATTAAAATTTTTAAAATATTGTGTTATTGAAGTAAATATAAAAATTATTAGTTGGAAAAAATTTATATGAAATGAATATCTTCATATAAAGATTCAACAAATTTTATATGAGTTAGAAAAAATTAATTTTGATTATCTTGATACTAAATTTTTGAGTACAAAGTATCAAACTATAAATTTGCTATTAAAATTTAACTCCACACACAAAAAATAAACAAAAAATTGTGCTCTTTGAGATTAACTCTAAATTATAGTATTAAAGTATTTTTGCATTTATTTTAATCGTATATAAACCAAACACACAGTAAACTGGATGTAAATTTCAAATATATGGTCAAATTGTTAATGTCCACCATTCATACAAAATTTCAGTATACCAAATGAAAAATTGTATTGAGCTGTTTTTTCATATAATTCTGTGGGTACAGGTGTCCAATGACTTTTTCAATGAATTAACAGTCCACAAATTTAGAATTTAACCTATATTTTCTCTGATAATATGCTTTCTTTGTTATATACTGTTAGATGCATTAAAAAAAAATGAAAAAGTTAACTTGTTTATAAATCCTTTTGCTAGACATTAAAGTTTTACTTTATATTTTAAGAATATAAACATTTTTAAGTGTTGAGTNTTACTAGATTTATTTATATGTAACTAGCAGATAAGCCCGGCGTTGCTCGGGCAAAAAGTAACGATAGTGAAGATTAACATTATTACATTACAGCCAATCTTACCTGTTTTCATAGAATGCAAGAATTAGGTTTCTCTGTTTCCAGACTAATTAGAAAATTTTTAGATGGGTCTAAAAATATGTTTGATTTCCTGCAAAATCACAAAAAACTGCACGTGTCTGTAAATTTTGCATGTTGCTTCTCTTAACACTTCCATTCTTATCACTTCCATTGTTACTTAGCACTTCCATTGTTGAAGCCTTAATCCTGTCCCTTTCCCTATGGGGGAGGAATTTCGAAAAATCCCTTCTTGGTGTGCATTCTTGTGACGTACCCTAACTGTGTATCAAATTTCAAGTTTCAACTCCTAACCGCACTGAAATGCTCGTATATACGTGCGCCACCTATTGTAGGATAAATATACTATGCTGCCAGAAACCTTTGCAGGAGTGTATTAAACAACTTCCCAAAGTTTCATGGCAATCGGATAAATGGTGTAGTAATGCATGAAGGACAGACAGACAGACATACATTCGTTTTTATATATATATATATATAGATTATATATATGTGCAATATATAAAAGTGATTTAATTTTCTGGAGATGAATTGCTATATTTGAAAATATTTTGTATTATGTTCGGAATTTAATAACTTTTTAAATGTGTATGTAAAAATGTATTTCATTTAATACTTAAAATACATATGTAAGTATTGAATGAAATGTATTTTTACATACATATTTGAAAAGTTATGAAACTCAGAACACAATACAAAATATTTTCAAATATTTATTTTTTATTTATTTAGTATGAGGAAAACCTGTATGTAAGGCATACAACATGATATTACAATCATTTAATAACAATTACAACATAAAATAAAGTAATGATGATAATTCAGCACAAAATAATAAGCCTATTAAAAAACAATATAATAATAATCACAACAATAAATAATATCAATAACAACAATTATAAACATTCAAAAATTATACAAAAAAATATACAAAAGTGGCAATGAATAGACAGTGCAAACTAAAATTCTAAAAAATTTATATAAGAAGTAAGTTTGTATCTCATGGACATCAGTGCTTTACATTCCACCACTAAGTGAAAAACGTCAGAATTAACAGAAGAGTATCAAAATTTACAATATTTCAAACATGGAATCATCATTATTTTCAACATATTACATAACATGTATAACACAATTTGTGTAATGCAAAATAGTCTTTCTATTTTGCATTACACTTACCACTTATATTTACTTATATTTACTATTTTACATATTCACTTACCACTTATTATTATTATATTTAGAGGCTCTATCTTTGAACTCATTTAAATAATTATTCATTAATCTCATTAAAATGTCAGATGCTTCTATTTCATTCAGCATAATTGGATATCTCCATAGCCAAATTTTTGCAACAATGACACAATTCAATTCCTCTATGCTATTCTTTGAGAAATCAAATATAATTTTGCCAAAACAGTAAGTTTACTTACTAACTGTCTGTGCAACCAACTTATATTATTTTTCATTATATTAAAACAGAGAGGGACTCTTTGGAGCTCTAGATATATAATATATGATGGGGTCCATCTTTTTAACAAATACAAATGCTTAATAAAATTTATTTGTAAGTTACAAACAAATAATTTTAACTTATCTTTTCAGTGCATCAGTCTACTGGACACACATGCTTTAATTATCTTGTCTATACCAATACCAACTTTACAATGAATATACTTTAAATGCTTTAAGAAGCATCTATTAGACTGAAAAAATACACCTAAATATTTGTACTCATCAACAACTTCTATTTTACAATTAAGAATAAATCAGTTCTCATTTTTAGAATGTTTTCCTTCATTTCAAAATACCATTATTTTAGGTTTATCAACCTTAATGGAAAGTTGTAATTGCTGGATTGCATTCTTCAAAAAATCAATCATTCTCTGTAAACTTATAGGAGACTCAGACACAACATCCAAATCATCTGCATATGTCAAAATTTTTACCTCAATACACGCAAGATCAACACCTATTAAATCAGTCATTAAATTTTCTAATGAGTGAATTCAAATATAAATTAAACAAAATTGGACCCAAAACACAATTCTGTTTCACTCCTTTAAACACAAAAAAAAAGATCAGAGTACCACTCTTACCACAGACACATGCCTCTGCATTAGTATATGGCTGAATCAAACAATTTACAAATTTATAACTTAGTCCAATCTTCAAAAGCTGTCTCCACAAAAATCTCTATCTAAAGAATAAATGTTGACTTTAAGTCAACAAAAAGGCATAAAGTTCACATTGTTTCCTCTTCAAAGATCTTTGAATCAATGTATATAAAATATCTAATGTCGAAAAGCCAGAATGAAAGTCAATTTGAAAATCCGAAAATACCTCATACTTGTTTAATCATGTTACCAATTTCATATACAGGATTTTACAAAAAACTTTAGAAATTGTTGGTAGTAACAAAATTGCTCTATAATTATTAGGCAAATCTACTTTCCTTCTTAAAAATGGGGATGATCTTACAAATACACCAATCCAAAGAAATCTCTCCTAGTTGATATATATTATTAAACAAATATACCAAATATATTCAAACCTGTAAAATTCTTATATAGTTCTACCAATATACCATCAATACCAAGAGCAGTACCATTTTTTATACTAACTAAAACCAGTTTCACTTCCTCTTCTGTTATTTCCATAGCCAACACTTCATCCAGGTTTTTATTAATCCTTTGTAAAAAGAGCTTTTTCTTAACTTTGCATAAATTACGAATCATATATGTTCTTTATGAATACTACTCACAGCTTCACTATTTCCAATCTTTGCTTTTCTCATTCTGTTCAAAGCACAATTTCTTCTGACAACACTCAACCTGCAATCTGTATCAAATCATAAAAATTTAAAGGTTTGAACTGACCTTTGACACCAGTCTGATTTAATTAAATATTCAAATATGTTAACCATTAATATTTCCTGACTCTGAATCTCACACGTTAATTTATTATATTTATGATTTAACACCTCACTACATTCTTCTCTCCAAAAATTCTATCTCCATTACCCTTAAACCATTATACTCATAAACCCTTATACCTTCATATTTTCTTTTTGTAATTACAATCTAGAACTACACTAATTGGGAAGTGATTACTAAATACTTTATCTATCAATAGAACAGAGAAAACTTATTACACTAGATAACTGTCAGCCTAACCATAGCTAAATCAATTACCAAGTATCCTAATTTGCTCACATAAGTACAGTAGAGCGTAGATTATTCAAATCAATTGGGGACTTGGGTTTTTCGGATAACCGATTATGTACGAAAAAATATATTAACCTATCCCGTGTTGAAATTTTTCTCTGTTGCGTGTCACTTTGCGTTGAATTTTCGTTGATGTTAAGCCTAATGAAGACTATTGTATCGTTAAAAATTATTTTTTTTATTTTGTACAAACAAAATAAATATATTGAAAAATATAAAAACAATAAAAAATTATACTTCAGAAGTTAATTTAGTATCAAAAACGTAAAATATTTGAGTAGCCGAAGACATAGCCAAAGATTACAGCGCCACAGCACTGGCGAAAATTTAAATTTGTCGAATGGAATTCCTTCGGATAACTGACGTTTCAGATAAATGATGCTCTACTGTACTTTGTAAAAAATTATTTATTTAATTTTGTGATGTAAATGATGCATCAATGTTCGTATCAAACATATTTTTAAATGTTTAGAAGATTGAAACGTATTGAAGTTTGAATGATAGAAGTTTTTTATTACCCTCAAAATTAATGTTTTTGCCCTTTTATAATAATTAAAAATATAAAAAGTATTTTAATAAAATTATGATAACAGATGGTACCATCAAATATTGTCAGGAAAAGCAACTCATTGCTGGATTTTTATGCATGAAGTGACATTTTCAGTTATTTTTTTATAAATTTATGATTATTGATTTTATTTTACAGATTTGATATATTTAGGTTTAATTTTTAATTTTTCAGAGAAGAATTACATCTGTGTTAATACACACTTTGGGGCCACTTTTTATTCAGATTACACTAAATAAGTTGGAAAGAATAGTAAACCAGAATGATTTTCCATCTTCCATAGGAGGAGGAGATTTTAAGATTATTCTACTTCAAGTTATTCCAAATTTAAAATACATCCTTACTTTACTACATCGATTGCATTTGATAACTTTTTATTTTTATGGAACATATTATCATATGTCAAAGCGAATTTCTGGAATAAAATATGTAAGTATAAGAATATGAAAATGTTAAATGGGATAGTTTTATAAATTAATCAATCACTATCTTTAAGAAACCAGCAATATTTTATTATTTTTGAGTGTTTTACACACAATTATCTTTAGGAAACATCCATAATAGATTGCTTTCAAATTTAGAATCTAATTTAACCAGTTATAATTTTGTTGTTAGTGGGGAGATATTTTTAATTTTATCATTTGACATTATATATTATATAAAAAATTTTTTTACTGACAACTTATGTTTTATCAATTATTTTAAATATTTCAGGTTAGTTTGAAAAGATGGATGTCAGATCCTCCTCAAGATAATTATAAACTTTTGGGTTGGTTAGCATTCAGTCAATTATGCTTAAATTTGGGTATGCAAATCTATTTTGCCATTTTAAATAAAACAAAAAGGCAAAGAGTGGATAATAGTATAGAAAAGTAAGTTAAATTTTTTAATTAGTATTAAAATAAAACAATATTTATTATTAAATTTTGGTATAATAATTATTTTAATCAGTAGAATCTTGAAATCATCAGAACTTTCAGTGAAAGAGAGAGAAAAATGTTGCTTATGTTTAGAAAAAAGACAACATACAACTGCAACACCTTGTGGACATTTATTTTGTTGGAAATGCATTATGGAATGGATGCAAACAAAAGTAAGCTTTTCTTATTTATCATCGTAATCAGTTTAAATTATTTTATTTATATTTGTTAAACATTCTTCAAGAAATATTAAATTTATTCTAATAATTATTTTCTTGAAAAATATGAATAATTATCATTATTAAATAAACCATAAACTTATTTTTAATTACTAAAAAATAAATTTATGGTTATATATTACATTATATATTCAATAATAAAATAAGTGCATTTTGAGGAAATTTGTTTTACACATATTGTAGAATTAATAGAATCATGCTGAAATTCAAAAATGAGGGGTGTTGTCTGATGGTTGTGGCAGTTGGAATAATTTTCTTTTGCTCACTTTGATCTAATTCACTTTTATCTTCTTATGGAAAAATGTCAGAGTTTTTGTCTCAGAAAAAGAAAACTTTTTCACCACTATCTCAAGATGGATCACCATGAAATGTAAGAAAATGAATTGGAAGTGAAGAAAATGTCTCAGGTGAGTCAACAGAACAAATGAACTTGTTTTATATAAGAGCCAAAAAGGATATTAATGTTCAAGAAGGAATTAGATTTTTGTTGAAATTACAAGCTTCTTCAAACAGTAAATTACAAACACTTTTTGACTATTTAGATAGAATGCAAGCATGAACTGAGAATATAGATACTGCTCTGGTAGATGTTGAATCTAGACTCTGATCTAGTCATTGAAACTGATGGAGAAAAATTTTATCTTAAAGATGACAAATCAAACACAGAAATTAATGTAACTTGTAATACTCTGCATTAAAAGTTAATGAAATTAGAAGATAAAGAAAGAAGGAATAATATTGTTATTTCGGGCATCGGCAATGACAAATGGGATGATTGTTCAGCTAAGGTTCAAAAACTTTCTAACAATAAATTAAAGGTTACAGATGTCAATATTAAATGTGTCTTTAGAATTGGAAAATTTAAACCAAATATAAAAAGACTGATTATTTGTGAACAGACATTGAAGATAAATCAAAAGTTTATAAAAATATTAGTAATTTAAAAGGCATAAATATATTTATTAACAATGTTACTCAACAAATACACAGAATTTTTATGTTATACTAAAAAATTTCAGCTTACATGTTGCATTTGGAGTTTGGTGTTTCTAGAATATTGGTATTGGTATTAATAATAAAAGCAATAGTTTCTTTTTGGATTAGACTGTTGAAACTATATGATAACAGTTATAAGTAGCATATATATATAAAACAAACTGTATAAAATGTGTTCAATGATGGGTAATTATATTATATATATAATTGGATGATGGCATTGAAAAATCTGTTAGATGGACATGGGTTTTCATTTTTATGGTTGTCTCAAGATCCTCATTTGATCAAAAGTTATCAAACATTAATTATAAAAGTGTTGTTGCAAACAGAACATACAAGAAGAATGGTCTTTGTTGAAAAAGAACAAGCATTTTCAATTATTGTATTTTTAAAACAACTTATATGTGTGAGAATTACTTATTTATGGACATAAATTATCATGGAATTTTTACAAAGATTGCTTGTAGCCCTTGGTTTAATTAAATAAAATAAAATATCTACTAATGTGAGGTAGATAATAATGAGTATCAGTAATGAACATAAATAACCAGGTTATTTATGTTCATTACTGATACTTATGTATTCAGTTTTACTGTACACTCCTTTTTGTTTTATTAAATGTTCTACATTGATTCCTGAGTGTTTGTGCCTATTATCACTGGTGTGATAAGCCCTTATTGTTATCTAACTCATGTTAGTAGATATTTAATTTAATAAATTATCATATAAAACAATTAATTCTGCAGCTGATATGTGGTCAAAATTATATTTTGATGTATAACAGTAGACTAATAATAGGCTCTAAGTTTCATGCATTTGCAGTAACTATAGTATGCAAATGCATGAAACTTGAGAACATGTATTTTTTCACTGTATCAAATTTGAAACAAATAAGAAAAAGTATTTGACAAGATTTAAATCCTAGAAAGATATAATTAATTTATTGCATTTTTCAAAAAATGATTATTTTTATGTATTTTATTTTGTGTTATCTTGCACTAACCTATTTCAGTAATTTGTTAAATTTTACTAATTTCAGATTTACATAATACATATAAATATGAGTATTATTGTGTTTTATAAGCTTTTATATAATTTGTTATATTGTACTAACTTCAGTTTTTATGTAATACTTTAGCTCCCTTGTAACAAGTAAGATTTATAATAAAGAATTGAATTGAATTGAAATGATCTTCAGATGTTTTCTTTCATATAATTTATATATTGTATATCATTACTTATACAATTACTTTTTAAATAAAAATGTATTATGGATACAATTTCTGTAATTACTCAGGATTTTTATATTTCTTCTTAAATGAAGTTAAGACTATTTACAAAAATATAAAATTTTTGAGTCTATCTTAATCCTTTTTTACACCACCCCAGAAGTAACAGTCAACATGGGTTTTTTTCTTTTTGAAGAATATACTTCTTAAAAACAAAAGGTAAATAAACAGTAAAAAACAATTCACCACAATGTGGTGAGAAGAATTCTTCATGTTTTTAATGTAAAGTGTCAGATCCTAAAACAGAAGGCTGACACTTGATCATTTTTAACATTGTGAATTGTTTTTTACTGTTTATTTACCTTTTGTTTTTAAGAAGTATATTCTTCAAAAAGAAAAAAACCCATGTTGACTGTTACTTCTGGGGTGGTGTAAAAAAGGATTAAGATAGACTCAAAAATTTTATATTTTTGTAAATAGTCTTAACTTCATTTAAGAAGAAAAATGTATTAAATTAAAATACTGTATATGCTGGCAAATAAGTCAACTTTTTAATCCTTAAAAATATTTCTCTAAAACTATGAGTTGAGTCGAAGACTGATATAAAATGTAAACCTTTATCACAGTCATAAACAAATAGAATAGTGCTCCTAACAGTAGTCTTGACTGCAATTTGAAAAAATTGTAGATCTATAAATTCCCACTGTTGTCAGTTCATTTGTCTTTCCTTAATCTTGAGAATGGAGTTAGATAAATGAAAAATGAGACCAGATATGGAAACCATAGGGACAGGAAACCCCAATTAACTATATACAAACTTCTGATGCAAACTGAAAGTCAAGTTATTTCAATTCAAAAATTTTCCCATGAAAGGTGTTAGATGACTGACTGGCATGACTTTATTATTAAAGGAAAAGTATGATGTACAGGAGTAAGCCACTACTAATTTGAGATGGAGAGCAAATAATTTAAATTAAATAAATTAAAAATTGCAGCCTGGCATTGTGACAATGTCAAACAAATAATTGCTCGTTATTACAACGAGCAATTATTGGAATCTATCACTTGTATCTTTGAAAAATTTTAATGAAGTTTCATATATACTTTTATAATTTTGTTTTCATTTAATTCATTATCAAAATTACATTTATAAGATGAGATGATTTATATTAAGTTTTTTTACTTTTTCTGTTCTGTGGGTAATAACTTGTAAGATGTCCATCATGGGTTTGGCCAGGTCTACAATTTTATGTCAGGTGATGATGGGCAGGAGGGCCTGATATATTCAGGATAGATTTCCTGAAGCTGTATGCTCAGATTCTCTAGAGCAGTAGGCTGTTGCCTTAACTGTCTTGGCCATCTAAGTTACATTGAGCTTTATATATGTTAATTTAAAATTTTTATTTTTTAATATATTTATATAATAATTAATTTATTAATTTAAATTTATTTTACAGAGAGAATGTCCTTTGTGTAGAGATGACATAGAACCTTCTCGACTTGTATATCTTCAAAACTATGAATAATTTCCTGTATTATTATTATTAACGAATTGTGATATCGTTTATTTTATTATGTAAGATTAATTACATTAATAATTTTGTAATAAATTAATATTTTTAAAACAAAATATCTAGAATTACATTTTCAAAAGTTTTAATTGGTTTAAATTTTAATTTTTATCTTGAAAAAGATGTTAATAAAATTAATTTAGTTAAACTTTTTACATCAGAAACTTTGCAATGTATTATCAAGGAATATAAAAAATAATAAATAAATAATTTTTATATTAAGTGAAGTAGAATAAATTAATAATTGAAGTCATAATTACAAACCATAAAATATCGTTTTTAATTATAACGAATGTTCAGTAATTTACAGTATCATTTTATTCAAAGATATACTTGATTGACTTATGAAATATGTTGGGTTAAAGTTGTCTTGTTAGCTTAGACTGGTCAGGTCTCTCTGATGGACTTGCTGTAGGCTACAAGGACATCCTAATGAAGATTTTCTGGTGAAAGCATCTACTAGAGACAGATTAGAAGAAGTAATGGCCAGTCTTAAAGTGAACAGATGAGAGAGTGACTAGATGAAACAACATGTAGGGAAAACAAAGGACTGACACAAAACTTTCCATATACAGTATATGCAATCCAACCCCATTTATCTGGGTTCAATTTGTAATATCCAATTAGTTTTAATAGTTGTAACTCTAGTTTTAAGATAATTATTAAGAAAATTAATAATTATCAGAGGTTTTTTATCTTGATAATTTTATGCTGTGCCTTTTTTATAGTCAGTATTTATAACTTACATTTAAAGGGTGACCCAAAAGTTAATTAATCTAACCTAACTGAAGTGGCTCACATAACTGTCTTTCTGGACATTCTATATATTTATACATATATATACATATAGAGCAGTGTTTCTCAATTTTCTTTTTACCTTTGGCACCTTTTGAGCTTACACATTTTTCTGAGTTCCTCCATAATAGTAGCTGGGGGTAAAATTAAAAAATAAACATTGAAAATTCTACCGCTTTTTTAAATATTATAAAATGGATTTTTAATTAAAATAATTATAGCATATAACGTTAAATCGTGTAACTTTCAACCTTCAAATTCAAAACTTGCATACATATGGTATTACTATATATAATTGTTACTTTTTTTTTTAATAGTTTACTTCACACTCGTTTTTATGCCAGTTTCAGAGGTGAACAAGTGGTGAGGCTAAAATGAAGTTCTTGGGATATGCATTCCATACATCTACAAGCAATATTTTAATAGTAAACATCCTTTGAACAAAAATATTAAATGAAAATGACATGCTCTGTATACACGTGCAAGATTTAAAGTGTCTTCATTTACAAGAAACAAATGAATGTATATTGTCTGATAAACATTTTAGGTTCAAAATTTCCTTATCAAATTTACTTTTGTATTTTATTAAAACATAACATTTTAATAATTTGCATACATTTCTCTAATAATTTACTTATTGAAATGTATTCTTTTTCATATAATTTTAATATTTGGTTCTGATTGTTGCCCTCTATAATTTACTATGGCTTTTCCAAAATTGATTTTTGGCTCCTTGTTCTGTGGCCCAAGTTGAGAAAAACTTTGATATAGAATACTTCCAAATGGATAACTTCAAAATCTAATATTAATTGTTGATCCATCATTGGCATATTTCAATTTATTTTAGATTAAGGTTTGAACCATTCTGATATAATTTTTATTCTGATAACGATTTTAATAACACAGACTTGATTGTAACAATTTATGTGAATATCAAATTAGAATAATTAAAGTTAAAAATGTAATTAGATATTTCACTTCTTAAATTCTCACTCTACAAAAGAGATTTCACAGGGATTCAATCACGTTTACACCTTCTATAACATAGAAATTTTATAACTAAATCATAAACATTGAAAGAAGACTTTAAAATTAAATTTTATTACTAAAAAACTTGTTAGGAAGCTCTAGTTAAAAGAAAAATCCTTGAAATTGTTGGAAACCTTGACCGTGGGTTTTTACCTTGAGAAAAAAAATTAACCTCATCCTATATTCCATTCACATCAACAGATAACTTCAGTAAAATTTATTGACTTGTGGAATGCAAACTGTCTTAAAAAGTATAACTTAAATTTTATTATCGAAAGCTTTAATTTATGATGTACAAATCAAAAATATGGATTTATCATCAAAAGTCGCTAACAGTGATTTACTTGTAATTAATGTTTTCAGCATTAATTAGGTGCATAATGACAACTGTAACAAATTTTTATGTTAAAAAGCATTTTTATATTGCACCTAATTAAATTTTAATGAGAGATAATATAACCAATTATAATTTTCTAAATGAAAGATATAAGATCAATTAAAATTACTCTAAATTAATTATAAATAATATACATAAGTTAGATTTAAATAAGGTCTATCAAGTTCATCAAAACATTCTATTTTTTGGCAAAATATTCTTGTTTTATCTTTTAGAAATCATCAATCTTCTTTGTTTATTCATTTACAAGGGCAAACTAATTCAAGTAGAAGATAGCAAATAATTACTTCCTGTTTTTTTCACATTTCCTATGAATTACATAATTTTTAATACATTATAAACTGTATTAATTTCTAATTATCATTCAATTTTTTCTTTGAAAATCCATTGTAAAAGAAGGACGAATTAAAAATTCTAAATGTTGTTATGGCTATAAAGTTTAATGGTTCATAAAAATNAGTTTACTATGAAAACATTACAGTACAAATGTAACATTACTTTTTCCTGACACATATTGATAAACAATTTCCACGATGAAATGTATGGAAATTCTTATTTAAAACATATATAACTATTATAATCAAAGGAATTTAAATACTTACAGTTTTATTGATTGTTAAATAATTTATACAAGAATTCTATACTTTTAATTTGAAAAATGGTCATACAAATTTGATTAAACATATTTATACATATATCCATGATGAAACTGGATATATGAAATTTCTGTAAATTTGAGAAGTATTGTTTCTTAACACACAGATTTTGAACTGATATTCAAAAGCACAAAATGTCTATTGACAGAAAGAACTGCCAATTCTAACTAAAACATTAAAAAAAAAATTCTGATAAGAGTAATCTATGGAGAATATTCTTTATTCAAAATTGTTCAATAACTTTTACATTTAAACTTTATAATTTGTTAAAATTTCTCTTTCAGAGGTATGCAAAACTTAGTTAATTTTATTGTTTCATCTAACTATATTAAATGCATGTGATAAATTCAAAGAATATTCTGACTTATCTTAATTATAAATTTCATCCTTTCTCGAACTTTTTATGAATAATAGCTGTAACAAAGTATAAATTTTATGTTATTTATTATCTGTGCACGTAAATTTAAAACACTAATCGCACAATTAAAATGATCTATTGTGTATGATTTGGTTCAGAGGTGCATAAAGATCAAGTATGAAGTTAAATGTTCACAAAAATAATCAACTGTATTTTCACTTTATACTCACTCCATATTACGACAACTAAAAAAAAAAATAATCTATTTCGTCATGATTCGTTCCGACGACCACAAAATATAATCTATATTTCAGTGGGTTGACGTCATTCAGCTGACCAATCAGCGCTTTGTGCCATCTGGATATTTAGCCGCACGTATTAATATCCATTTACGAATTCTAAATTAATAATAAATATGAAGATATTTTAATGGATAAATTTGTAAAAAAAATATGTATTGATTTATATACAAAATTGAGAATTTTGAAATAATAAAATTCAACAGAAAAAAAAATTACGTATATCATAAATACAAATAACCCGATAATTATTTTAAATATCAATCGAACATATATAAATTAATATTACTTCGAGATAAAATGTTTGTTTGTTAATAATTAATATTTTATTTCGATACCGCTTACTGATGAATTTACAATTCAGTTTCTATTGCAGAATGGTAAAACTTTATTATACAGTTTACACACAGATTAACATTGGCTTTGCGTGTTTTAAGACTTCTGCCTGAAATTACTGCTGTGGAAATTACATTAGAGCTTTAAGAAAATCGAATATTTTATAAAGCATCAGAATTTAATTTAAATTATTTTTACTTTTCAAACTCTATTTAATTCTATATTATCGAATAATCAACTTCAATGATGAATGAGGAAAAGAAAACCTGATTCCTTATCAGCTTTAATTTGATCATTCATCATAAAAATTGGATAAATACTTTTTGTCTTTCTTGAATTATCTATTATGACCTTGATCATCATTTGATTTCCTATACACGAATTCTAAACGTGTTTTAAAGAGGTCAAGAAGATGAGTAGGATTATGCAATCTTTGTTCCTCTACTATAAATAGAGTGAAGACAGCCATAGGTGTCATTGCTGTTACAATAACCGGAACACGAAAATGAAGCAAGTTGTAAGCGTTTGTATTATATTTTTATTGTCGTTGCTTATTTATTGTTGCACTATAAATGATTGTATATATTTTTTTTGTGTGTTTTCAGGCCATCCTTTTACTCTTAGTAGCTGTGAGCTCCGCTCAACTCTTTTACAATTACGGAGTAACTACACATCATGTGCCCTCCTTGAAATACGTCGGAGTACCAGGCATTTACGGATACCATCATCCTCTTGCTCTTCATCATGGCGCTCTTCTTCATCATGGTGCTCTCGTTCATCCTTTCCTGGTAGGAAAGAAAGAAGAGAAGAAAGATGACAAGAAAGAATAAATGAATTTGATAATTTCTTAAAGAATAAAAGCGCTTTTGTTCTATTCTATTTTCTCAATAAAATCTTTTTTTTCCCCTCGCTCAATCAAACTTGTCTTGCGTATTTTTATTAAAAAATGCTGCACTTACGTCTCATTAACACGTTTTTCTCAAATCATATTTTTGTAATAATTACTTAAATAATTTATGTTTATTTATTTAAATTTTACCTGACTTATAATTCAACCAAATTTAAAATTACCATTGACGGAAACATAAAAAATGGAAGTTGTTTAGAGGCTATTTTATATACATTAAAGACACTTGTTGAGAAAATGGCTGCCGTTTAGAGGTGATTATTGTTGGAAATTTCACTGTATTAATCAACACAATAATAATTATTTGCGTATAATTAATTATAACAGAATTAATATCCTATAAACTGAGTAATAATCGCAAAAATTCACACGAGTCTCAGCTTGTTAGAGACATAATT